ACCATCGAAATCTATCAAAAAAATAATCAAATTCGGGGGTACATCAAAGTATATCAAAAAAATAACCCCTGATCTATCAAAAATGAAACTTTTGCCCCTCAGATAATAATCCTGTTTATCACATGATTTAGATGTGATAGGACACGGTTTTAGACAACCCCTATATATGGAAGTAAAAAAAAATACCAATTTTGGGAACATGTATAATCTATACAAAGTTGCAGGTCTGAATATTCTACTGGAACTGAAACTCTCTAGGTTGAATTTACTATATATGTTTTCAAAATTGATTTCTGTTTTTTGAGATACTGTACTTCTTTTAGATTTTAAGTAAAATAATTTTGTCTTCTATAATTCTTTATTTTGACTTTTTTTCCTGAAATTGCAATTTTGGAGCTTCAAAATAATTTTGCATGCAAGTATAGAATTTACTGTCCTATTTGACAAGAGAAGAAAAAGAAAAAAATGTTCTCCCTGCCTTTTTGCAGTAACTGCTCAAAGCCTGATACTAAATAAGTTAATTATTTCACTGATTCTTTATACAATGCTATCTATTTATCTTTTTCTGAACTTGAGAAGAAAAAGGGCCACACTTACTGTCACCAGAAATCTCCACAAAGGACTTCATTAGATAAAATTGAAGATTGGGTAACAAGATAAAAGATAGACCTGAAGGGTCATTGCTTCGCAATAATTCCATTATTTTTGGCAGTAGTAGTAATGGCAACAGAAGCTCAGAGAACCATTTTTCACAAAATAATAAATAAAGTTATTGTTCGATATTTTATGTAAGAAATGTGTAAAAAGGGAATTAAGTGTTTTTATTTATAAATAAAATATTTTTTTGCCGATCGTGTGTTGCACTATCTGCATGCGTAATCACAGATTAATCAGATCTCAGAATTCGTTTCTCGAAATAAAGTATTTACTTCATTTACTGCATATATATATACAATAACTTGCAATGTCTATCAAACTTTTCTACCTTGTTAAAGGAAACTCAGCCTTTTCTGTCAAGGCCAGCAAGAATGATACTATTGATGATCTCAAGAAAGTAATTAAGATGGAGAAGGCCCCTGAGTTTGATAGTTTCCCTGCAGATAAGCTCAGGCTGTGGAAGGTGATGATAGAGATTTGTTGAAAGCTCTGTCACTCAAAGCGAAGACGAACTTCGTGCAACCCTAGATATAGAAGATTACTGAACTGAGAAACCACCGAAAAGGTATATTCATATAATAATCGAGCAACCTGTTGCCATCGGTATGTAAATTTTAGTCAACGTGAAAGGGCTTGTTTTTGATAGCCGTTGTTCTGAGTTGCGCCATATTTAATAATATTTTCTCAATACATAGTGCCTCTTGCCAAACGAAGAAAAATCGAATTCAATAATAAAGTTCTGGGAAAGCTTTGAAATGCTTTGAAGAATGGGAAAGTTGATGAGATTGAGAGTGGCCAGTTTCTTCAGTTTTCCGAGGAAGTTTCCTATCTTACGGGGAAAAATGAGCAAGGTTCCAAAATATCCACTCTGTTCATCCGTGAATGTTATCTCTATCTGTCTAAAATAATCTTTGAAAATGTTAATGTCTGTCGTTGGCGTATTACCTGAAATCCGGGAATCGGGAAAACCTTCTTCGGCTGTTACCTGCTTCATCATCTTGCACAACAATTTAAAATGGTTGTATATCACAAATACAACATGCCTCCGATTCTCTTTAGAGGAAAGCGTTTTCAGTAGTTCCATAGACAATATTCATGAATTCAGAGATTATCTGAACAATGATGGCAGGGAGCCAACGGAATACGTTGCCAAGACAATTCTAATCTGTTCGCCTCAAAAGCGTTACTATAGTACGTTTGATAAGCTTGGGACAACTATTCGATACATGCCAGTGTGGTCTTGGGAAGAGATTGGTACATGCAGGAATGTTCTTTTCCGTGATCTTACTCAAAAGAAGGTTAAGGGATTACACAATAAATGGGGTGGAATTCCTCGCTTTACCTTGTTTTATGTTCTCAATATTTCTCAGCAAGAACTCCTTCAGAAGGCAATTAACTCAATTAATGATTAGATATTAAATTTCGTTGACGAAACCACAGAGGACAATAGCGCCAGTCACAAAATTGTTCATATCCGTACGAATGTGCCACAAGTAGGTGAGAAAGGAAAGGGAGTAGAGGAAGTAAAGGAAATAAGTGAAGTAGAAGATGATACTGGGGAATCTTCCTCTCCTGCAGTAACCAAGCAAAGCAAAGATAATGAAGGGATACCCTTCTATACATTGTCAAATTTAGAGTTTGCATCCGATCATGTTTATGAAAAGGTAATGGATGTACTCCTAACGAATTACAGGGAACAGTTGCAGACTTTTATGCAAGCTAGCAAATCAATAAATGATTATGGCACATTTCGAGGTGCTATATCGCTCATGGAAAGTTATTAAATGGAGGGCCATTCAAGGTTCGTCCTTTATTTGGAAAGACTACCTCTTGCTTCGGGATAACTAATCGTAATCTCAAACTAATAATACCTCTTCGGAACAAATTGTTCAGCAAACCTGATGAGGTTATACAAACCCGATATTGTATACCAATTCAAAAAAATAACGCATCTTTCGATGCATTTGTTTCTCCTGACACATTCTTCCAAATGACTACTCTGAGAGTCATCCTATCATCAAGAGTGGCTTGGAAAAATATATTGATAAGGACGGTAATTTAGATATCAATTTTTTATTTTGTCCTACCGAAGGATTTGTATAGCTCTTACGAACCACAGGCTCTTCATACCGCAAACAGGACTGTTCTCAGGAGTAAACCACCCTGGATTAATCGCTTCAAACAATATGCTCTGGAACTTGATCCGAAATTGTAGTAGTTTGTATTAAAATAGATAGATAATTATTAGATATATTCTCACATGAGATCGTGAATCTGGTTCATAATAATTCTTTTTTTTCATATAATCAAAAATGGCAAATATGAATTACATATAACATAAAATTATAATCATTGTAACTTGCAATATAACAGATGTCTAATTCGCAAAATAATAATAATTTAATCCTTTATAAACTTAATAATGAAGATTTTAATTTTTAATGATGAAAAGCATGAAATGGAGATTGTCATTTGTAGGAAAATCAAATGAAATACGCATTGATACTTAATTTGGTAAAACTTAAAGATTCATTTGAACCGATTACATTTATGACATTGTAACTAAATGCAATTTAAATTTATTGTAGAGCTTTCATATTTCACTTAAAAATTTAAGTTTTATTAAAAATAACTAGTTTAACAAATATGTAAAAATATACAACAACAATTCTAAAGTTAATATATAAAAACCAGATCCTGGAGAACTATCATTATATTAAAACCAGATCCTAGAGAACTATCTTTATATTAAAACCAGAACCTACATATCCCTAATTAAAACAGTTATTATTTCCTTTTTATTTTCTGAATTAACATCCTCTTGCACTTCACCTGTATCATTTATATTATTTACATTATTTGCATCATTTATATTATTTCCATTGTCATTCGTATTGTCATTCGTTTCGTTGTTCGTATCGTTCATATTGTCATTCGCATTGTCATTCGCATTGTCATTCACATTGTCATTCGCATTGTCATTCGCATTATCATTCGCATTGTCATTTTCATTGTTGTTGTCATTTATATCATTTGCATTATTTACTTTGTCACTCGCATTATTCAAATTATTCGAATCACTTGAATCATTTGAATCGTTCGAATTATTTGCATTTAAACTCGATAAAGAATTATCTTCTATGATCATATGATGAGGGGTTAATGTCGGTGTCTCCTCTTTTTTGATTAAATCACCAGTGAGGTCCAAAGTAACCGAGGCAATCGTCGACGTTTCATCCACTTCTCTAATTGAAGGTGCAGATGAAATCACCTCATCTTGCTTATAATGTTCATTCGAAGAAGAACTTGCATAAGTGATTGTTGCGTTAAGCACTTTATTTATTTGACTAGAATTGTCAATATACGTTTCTTGATCTGAATTATTTTCCGATTCTTCGTTATCAAGAGCAGGTAACCAAAATGCCTATAAAATTATTTAAAAATATATAATATAAATATTTAACGTAAGTATACAACATAAATTTATAAATATTATTTACCAAATCTGAGCACGCGCTAATCATCATTATTCTAGTGGGATTAAATTTTACCACTTGTGTAGGTCTAACATGGTGTTCTAACGTATGTATGGGTCTTGTATCAATCCCATCTAAAAACATGGTAGACATACTTAAAGGCGTTGATGTATCCCAAAAGTTAATTTGTCCATCTTGAGATCCTGTTATTCCAATAATATTGTTAAAAATTATATTATACAAATAAGTAATCAAAATTGAATAATTAATACTTTTATACCAGCAATCACGTATCGACCATCAGGTGTAAAATCTGTTTCCTCTCCTCCCAGAAAAGAAGATGCATTGTTTGACCCAACATGTCCAACTAATCTACGCTTTAATTCTCCATCATATGCATCAACTACATAATGAACATCTCCGGAAGTAGTAATTAATATTTTTTCACCATCATTACTAAATTTAATACTCGTCCATTCTGGAAGTACGGGAATTCTTGGATGAACACTTGGAGTCATATAATTATCTATAATCTTGAATGTGGCAAAAGGTTCCTTAAAGAAAATAATAAAAAAATAATAAGGATTTCTCTTTTTTTTAAAAAAAAAAAAAAAATTAAATTATAATTTCTATAATTTCTTCATTACCTTGTCATACTGTCTCACATCGTACAATCTTATCGAATTATCAAGACCCTGAAATCCAACTGAAAATACAACTCCAGTAGGATCAAATGCGACACATGGTCTTCCTGCTTGAACGTTAACAAATCCCTATTAAATAAAAATAGAGAGAGATATATATATAAAATATTCAAAGTGAAATATATGGAATTTATAGATCGAATTGTTACAATGTCACTAGGTTGTCTTAAATCCCATAATCTTATTCCTTCATTTATACTGCCCGATATGAATAAATCGTTGGAAGGTGACTTTTCCAATGAAACTACTCTGGAATTAATCAAATATAAATATTTTATTATATTTATATTTTTATAATGACTCGTGATCATGTGTTTATATATATATCTTACCTGTTATGATGTCCTTCGAAATATCTTATAAATTTGTTCACATGTAGCGATAGATATCTTACTGTACCTAAAATGTACATATTTGGTTAAATCATATTTCCAAACATTCATTATTTTTCTTTCTGAAAAGAATTCAAATAATTCACCATTGTTAGATGCGTAAATAATATTGGTATTTAAATGAGTAAAGCGAGTAAGATGGATCCCATATTTTTTGCTTAATAACAATTTTTTATGTCTTTAATTGAAAGAGTTTTTTTTATTAGTATCATGTGACTATAATATAATTCTTGATAAAAATGATCCAAAAAGAGGAGGTATGGCGATTGATAAATTGAGAAACAATATTGGGAATTCGTTTCCACTCTAAAGTCGATCACATGAAATGAAGTAAATTAGTGAGCCTTTATTACTTTAATAAAAGGAAGTTAATAAGCCTTACCTTCCTTGAAGGCAGTTGTAAAGGTTAATGGAATCGTCTAACGAAGCAGTCACACAGAATTCGCCAGAATCATCAAAATCAGCAGAAGTAATGGGCTGCGAATTCTCGTAAAAGTTTTTAGCCGCTTTAAGTTTAAGAAGGTGATTGACACTTAGTTCTTGAGTTTCCATTAAATTCACAATGATTAAAAAACGAAATTTCCTATTGATCGACAAGTAAAATCAATCAGAGGTTGCCGATCATTATATTTGTATAAAAGGTTTTTATAAGAAAATAATAATTTAATTTATTTTTTAAAGTTGTTTAAGGTTACAACTATTGTATTTTATTTTAATAATAATTATTTATTTTTACGAATTCCATGCTGCTTTAACTTTGGTTCTGTTCCAATTGGTTAAAACCTTACTAATGCCGAACTCAGCAATTCTTTCATAAGCTAGTAATTATTTTTCTCCAAGTCGAGTGATTTTCTATATTTGACACATGATAAAGTCCAATGATGTGTATAACAAATAAAAATGCATCGTCATTTCATTGTTTTTTTTTTTTGTTTTTTTAACGCATCGATGGTTTATTACTTTACTAGTGCTGGTATGTGATCGAAAAATTATTCATGAATCAAAGAATACATTATTTTATCGTATTGTAAAAGAATATTATTACAAATATTTTTGTTAATATATTTAGTGGTTGATCCACCAGCAAAGATATATATGGGCAAGGATAAAGAAGAAAGTGAGATAAAAAATTTTTTTTGTTTTCTTTTTTTTTTCTCGGTGTATCATTTGAATTTTTATATTTTTATTGATAACTTAAATCCATACATATAATATACATACGTATATATTATTATTTCGAAAGTAATTTTAAACATAATTTTTGATTTTATTTTAAGATGAAGAATTAATAAAGTATGGATGGGAAGAAGATGTATGGTATGGACACAATAATATATAGTAATTTTTAACTATTATTTCGATTCCTGATTTATTTTGGTTTGTGATTTGATTGTGGTTCGTTAATAGGGTATATATAGTATTTTATTCATCAATATTCTATAATTTTCTAATACAAAACTTAAGAGAAATTTATAATTTCATTTTATGTGAAAATTTTTTTTAGTTTCACGTTCATCCACATTCAAGTGCTCATGTATATCTTCGACTTCAAGATAAACAATCATGGGAAAATCTCTCTGCAGAACTTTTAAATGATTGTGGACAATTGGTTAAAGATAATAGTAAAGATGGTACTATTATTATATTTATTATTTATTATTATAATATATATTTATTTTTAATATTTATTTTTATAATATTCAGTAATTAATATTCTATGTTTTGATATTTATAGGTAGAAAAGAAAAAAGTGTCACAGTTGTATATACTCCATGGTCAAATCTGATGAAGACTAGCAGAATGGAAACTGGAGAAGTGTCTTTTCATAACCAAAAATTGGTAAGTTTTATTATTCATTCATCCAAATTAATTGTCAAATTTAGAATATACAGTACAAAATTATATAAAAATTATACAAAAATTAATAACTAGGTAAAAAAAATGATAGTGGATCAAAAGGACAATAAAGTTATCAAGAGATTAGAAAAAACAAAAATAGAAAGTTATCCTGATCTCAATAATGAAAAATTAACTTGGGAAAAAGAAAAAAGGAGATTAGAAAGAGAAGCAAAAAATGCAAAAGTATGTATTTCTTTTCAGCTATTATTCATTATTCACTTTATTCATTAATTCATTAATTCATTCTATTAATTTCTTTATGATCTATTACAAAAAAAGAAAAAAGAAGAACTTCGTTTAGAATGGGAACGAAAAGAACTAGCAAACAAAAATCCTTATGAATCATTATTTAATGATGCAGATATGCGTAGTAATTATCAAAATGCAAAGGATAGTGAAATAATTGATTTAGAAGATGATTTTATGTAAAATATATATTTACAAATTATATTTGTGATATATATATACAGTACTTGTTACATGTGTATTGTTGATAAAGAAATAAAATAGATGAGGTAAAATGGAAATGTGATAAATATAAAATAATAATGAAGTAAAAATGAAATAATGTTAAATAGAAATAAATAAATTTGAATAAAAATTAGAGAATACATGTTAACTTTAATTTTTTTTTTCTTGAGAATTTTAATAATTATTCTGAGTTTGATTAAATTTAAAATATTCAAAAGTTATAATTTCAACATTATCTAATATTTTTTGTAATATATTTTATTGATTCTTTTAGAAGTTTATATTACTCAATAAAAGATACTAGTTAATTTTATATTAATCTATTTATTGATATAATTCTTCTTGTAACAAACAATTTATAACTTCTTGAAATGTGTGACTTATTAAGGAACATTGTTATGAAAAGAAAATTAATATATAGAAAATAAAAGAAAATTAAAAATAATATGTAATAAATTATACATATTATTCAAATTCAAATTCAAATTCAAAAATCCAAATTCCAAATCTCAAATCCCAATTTCAAATCCCAATTGTAAATTATTTTTTGCAGTCCAAATTAAAGATATTGATAGAAATTACTAAATTTTCATCAAGTAGTTACCTATAAAGTAGTTACACAATTACTATCTTGAATTTTTTTAATAACAAGTGTTACAATATAAAATCAAAGTAATTATCTTTGATATAAGTAACTACTTTCAATGAAATTATTGATATATAATTATTCCTATTTCCAATCCAATAGTCTATCTTAATGGTTCTACTATACTTGCATACAAAATTATTTTTGAAACTCCAAAATTACAATTTTGGAAAAAAAAGTTAAAATAGTTTTTCATAGAAGACAAAATTATTTTACTTAAAACCTGAAATGTTTTGATCACCCAGATTTATTCTTTGATTGAATATACACATAACTGGATATTTTTTTTACTTCCATATATAGAATAGATTTTACATAAATTTTAAAAAGTCAAAATATCTCAAAAATCCAAAATCAATTTTGGAAACATGTATAGGCTCTACCATATATTCTATGCACTACAATAATTCAATCTTGACCTTCTTTATAATATTCTTCTTATCATAATTATGTATTCAATACTTCGGATGCCATAAACTTATGTTTAAATTGTATATTAAAGGAAGGTACATTTTTATATCATTTGATATATGTTAGAAGATATGTTTTGAGTCCCTTTGTTGGAAGTGTAAATGTATGCTCAAAGTAATATTGTATCTCTTCAGAATAAACATCACTTGTTCATCTCTAAACACATTTCACTTTATTAAGATCACTACATTATTTTCATATTAATCTGTAACTTTGGATTCAAATATTTTATTACCTATTTTTAATCTTGCATATTAGTTCATAGTCACTTCCATATATGCTTTCACATCTTTTCTTTCTTTGTTATATAACATTGTATACCATTCACATAATATTTTATAGAGTTTCAATGAAATACTTACCTTTTTATATAGAGATGTTAACATTTATTCTGATATATTTTCAGTGTCATAAATCTTATTGAACATATCATATCTTAAGGAGATGAAATACTGTAACTCTTCTCTATCAAATTCATTAGTTATAGCTAAGTTGCCAACAACTTTCTTCAGAATAAGAAATGAAAAAGACTTTTTCAAGAGACCAGATGTCTATTGACATGAAAGATGATAATCTACAAGTGAATTTTTGAGGACTATTTTCATAAGTTCGGGTTTTATCTACTAATTACTATTGGAATAAGAACTTATGAAAGATTTGTGTTAAAATTTTATTTGCTATAATTCATATATCTGATATTTATAACTTACCTATATATCCATTTAATCTCTCATACAGAAATAGTCAAAAGCTATAAATGGAGTCATAATTCTGTATGCATTTAGGAATATGCATTGATAAATGGATATTACTTGTAATGAATTTAAGTCCATAGGTTCTTTTTATATTTATGAACATATCCCTTAATCATTCTTGTACTTCTTGCAAATTGTCTTCTGTAACAAAATATTCTAAAATCTTTTTATCATTATCATCTAACATGTTCCATAAAATTGTTGTTGTATATATTATAATAAAAGTCTTCTATTGGTCAGTAGTGAACTTTGAAATCCTTCTCCATCAGGAAATTTTTCGGGCGTAAATTTCCGTAACACAAATGGGACCCACGGAAATTTACACCCACAAATTCAATTTTTTTTGACTTTGGTCGCAATTTACGAGACAGGAAGCGATTTTCTACTAAGGTGTTTCTATGACAGA